CGTACATCCGCCTTTGCTAACAGCTAAAGGCTTGACACTGAAATCAAGAAATTCTTGTCTCAGCACAGTCATGGGGATTGTGTCAGTCAACATTATACTCTGGGAATTTAAGGGATCTAATCTAGATTACTCAGAAGACTAGTCCTGGATATTAAGAATTTATTCCATAAGATTTTATTATTATTTTTTACTCTGCAATTACATTTTTTTTTCAAATAGTAATATGGCTAAAGAAACAGGAGCTTTTGAAGGGCTGATTAATATATCTCAACAAATTTTCAGTTACAGTTCTGTGACAACCTCATTGTCACAACTTATCTGTAAGTACTCCTTATTTGGAACTATCAGATTAAAAAAAAACATGATAACCTTATATAATATATCATGTTTGTGTGTGTATCTGTTTTACAGTATATTTACTGTGTAAATGTTCTGTAGTTCACCAGACCTCCTCAGTGTCAGTTTATGGAGCAAATTGTGTTTGATATATAGACCCTTACTCTTATGGTTTTCCTTGCATCAAAACAGTTTTCACAGAGAAAATATATTGAACCTGAAGCATCCCAAAGTGCCATTTCCTTTAATGTTTAGAGGAAGTTGTTTAGAGCAGTGCTTACCCAAAGTTCAATTTTCTTTGAGGGAAGTCATTGGAAAGTGATGGCATTTCTGTGATCAGATTTATTTACACTTGTATACAGGCTGACCATAAACGGGGAGAGGGTTTTCATGTATTCCTGTTCCTTGCATAATATCTTCATCATATGTCCTTTAAAGAGGACACACTGACTTCCTTCCTGACTTCTCTGGACCTGGAACTAAGTAGAACAGTGGTGGGATTTGCTGCCTATGCACAAACTTAGAATGTGAGCTCCATTACGGACAGCAATTCTGTCATTTGGGTTATACTTCTGTATGCTCTATGGTCTTATTTTGGACTCCCTTTGAATTTCTGTAACTGATACAGCTTCAGTTCTAGGGTCAGCTTTCAAACACCTTGTTTATTGATATTGTAGTTTAATACTCCTCAAGATCTTCAGACTGACTAATGGTTTGTGACAGACCTCCTCCTCCTCCTTGTTTCACCCAGAATAGCTATCTGACTTTTTAATTAACTCCTGAGCATCTCCAAGTGAAACAGCTTTGCGGCCTACTATAAAACACTCTGTCTTCTTTCAGTTAATTCCTGTTTCACGTACTCTTACTGTACATATGCATATTTGTACAAAATAAGTCTTGGGGGAAGGAAAACAGGTAATCATACCCCATTACCAGCATTTCAGCTTCCTTTTGGGGCCATTTAAGCAGAATTGCAGCCAACAACTGTCATTCTGTCAAGGCTTGAGGCATTTTGACCAAATTCGCTACTCATGCTAAGGTATAGAAATACTTAGCAACTAAGGAGTGTTGCTCCGAATATGCCCGCTGACTCTCCTTGAACAGGCATATCCAGCAAACTATGGGCAGCTCTGTCCATGGTTTGTTTAGTACATTGTGCAAACCTGAATTGTTCCTTTCAAATCCCTCTATTGCATTAAACCCTGAACAAACCACAGATTTGTTAGCTGCACTCTCTTGTGTGACGAATTAGAAGAGCTGAACTGAAACTGTACATTAGTACATTTTTAATTGATCACTAAGCAACTTGAGTGTGTTATGCAAGCTGGCAGTTGCCTCAGGTTATCTACTTTGACACTCAGCTTACAAAACAGTCAAAAGGTCAAGAATTCACAGGAAGGGATCCTGTAAGGTCATCTTGACCAACCTCCATTCTCCAACTCCCAACATTGCAAATATTTACAGTATTTCTTTTTCTTAGAAATGCTGTAAATCTCTTAAAATATCTGAAAACCTTGACAAAATTCAAAGTTTGGGGGATAAAGCCCGGCATATCTTACTTTGTTGGCTGAATTGTGTTAAGGGTCAGTATAGGAAATTGCCTTATTCCAGATCAAATTATTTGCACATCTGACCTGGTTTTATCTACTTTTAACTGGCAGCAGCTATCTGAAATATCAGGTAGAGGCTTTATTTACAGAATAGGTTTATTTGGAGAACATTAAAAATTAAGCAAAATAATTTACATTGAAATTGATTTGTGTCACTAAGATACTTTTTGTTTAAAGCATCAGGTACCTACATATAAAGCAGGCCTTATCATTCCCATGTATGTAATGCCACATTATTATTCCAGTTAAGTGCACTGTTAACTTTCCCTGGATTCTAGGTTGGCTTTTTTGAACTGATTCTTTCTTCCACTCTACACTTGGACACTTGCTCTGGTAATAGCATTATTGAAGGAGTTTATGTCTCCATAAATACCCCCTCTCACAAGGGAATGAGTAAAGAGGCCACAAGCAGCTGTGTTTATTTAGTCATAAATACTAAGGAGAGCATTACTGGATTAATTGTACCACACATTCTCCTGGTTTTTTATTTGCAGAGGTCAAGCTAATCCTCATTGTGCTTCTAATTATAAAGGATGAAGAGATGAAGATGGATCCCTGTTTAATTCCCTAAAGCAGAGATTCCTAGTTCCTGAGCATCTCTGAGCTTTTTGTATGCTCTGACATTCATTGACAGATAAACTGAAAATATGGTGCTGCCTGAAAGGACATAAACTGCCATTTTAATATATGAGGCATGTCCAATAGTAAAATACTGGCCTGCTTAAAATGGAAATGGTTGCTGCATTCATCCAGCAGTTATAAAGCTGGAGGCACAAGTTCTTCATTGTCTTTCTGTTGCTGAACACCAGAGACCTGGTGTTTCTGCAGCTATATTATAAACTATGTAATACATGTGCCACAAATGCGGAGCACAATTGCTTCAATTTTTCGTGCTGAACTTTGCAAAGACCTCAGTAACAACTTCTGGAATGTTGCTGTTTCCAGGATCCACTGTTGTCTTTATTCTGTGCAGTATCATTCTGGTGGATGATATAGCACGGACACCATGCCTGATATCAGAAATCTTGGCAATCATAAAGGCAGAAGGCATCAAGTAAGGCTTTGGATGAGCTTTAAAACTTACTTGATCATATTCACCCCAAGGTTCCACCCACACAAACATGCACTCACATGCCCTCAATTTTTTGTTAAACCATGAAGAGAACTGAATTCAGGCGGTCCAGAGGGGATGGTTATGGATATAAAACAAAATCTTATGAAGAGGAATATACTTAGTCTGGGAGAAACAGAGAGAGGGAGAGGATATTACTCTTCAAATACATGTAAAGCTGTCCCTTTTTTCTGCTAGATAACTGAATCAACAAGTTTAAATTACAAAATGATTGGTTTTCTTTGAACTTTAGGAGCAACTTTTCTTTATCTGTTGAATATAGTCTAACTCTGCTTTCCTGCACTAAGATGGGGTTGAACTAGATGGCCTATACCCTTCAGTGTTCATCTGAGGTTTAGCTCTTCATTAGACTAAAAAAGCAAGATAAGTTCCCCTGAGATCACTAAAGGGTGTGCATGATGTGTGTGTATGTGTGTAAGCCACTTACAGGTCAATAGCAAAACTATGAATTGTCCCTCGAATAGATGTGAAGTATAGCAGCTCCTGAAACATTGGCATCTTGTATTAGACAATCTCTCCGAGTAATGCAGCAGCTCTGTGTTGGACTAGCTGAAGTTTCCAAATAATTTTCAAATGTAACCCTACATACTGTATAGTGTACTGTAGTAATAGAACTCACCAGGTTTCAGAGAGTGAATAACTGACACTTGACTAACCCTGTCCTGATAAGGTGACAGCTGATATATCAGCCCAAACTGATAAAAGGTGCTCCTTGCTCTTAGCCACTAAGGCACCTGAGCCTTCCATGACAATGATGGATTCAAAGCATCTCCAAGCCATGCACCAGATTCTTCAAGACAGATTAAACAAATGAGCCAGCCACTCCACAAACAGCAGACCCAACTTGTCTGAATTGGACTTTAGTTATTCATCTTCATTCAGTCCATTACTTTGCTTAAGCAACAGTTTAGGACATCCTCTGCCTCACCTGGATTAACTGAAAAAGATGTAAAACTGTCACCTGCATATTTTTCATCTGTTAAGAATCCTCTGCAAAATTATTTATTGAAATACGTTATTTCATTCTTACTTTCACTGAAATAGTTCTGCTTTCCAAGTTGATAGGTCAGTTTTTGCTAAGGGATGTGTAGGAGAAATTTCCCCCTATAGTTCT